GGGGGGTACAGGGGTACAGGGGGGAGTATACGTCTTTTCTGAACTGTTCTGTTTCTGGGCGGTATGGCTCAGTGGACGTCCAGATCTTTGAGAACTTCTGGGCCAGGACGCGGCGGCCCGATGTCATCCAGCGGAAGGCTCTGCGAAGGGTTTCGCTGCCGATGTGGTCGCCAAGAGATATTCTCAGAAAGTCGTTGACAAAGCTAGGACAAAGTAGGTCATCTACGTACATGCGTACAATGAATTTGCTAAGACTGGTACTGGCGTCCGGACAGTCGAGAACGAGGTCTGATAAACTGGCCAACAACCGAACGACTCCCAGCTGTACATCGTCGGGTGAGAGATAAAGGCCGTAGAGCTCGCTGAGCATTTTGGAGACCATCTCTCGCTCTGTGGGCGAGTTGGAACTTAGTCCGTTGGCCAGCAGGCGGCGCACGAACTCGTGCTTAATCAGCTCGTTCGTAATCGGCGGCACAATCACCGTCGCCGGCGGCGGCGGCGGCATACCACCGGGGGCGCCAGAGGCGGGGTTTGAACCGCAGGCTTGTGCGCCTTTAGTAGCGTTTTGGCCCGCATTGGTCTGCAGGAAGTCTACCACGGTGTCGGAACTGCCTTCAGCCAGCGCTTCTTCGACCACTTGCACACAGGCCTGCTTGTACTTGCGAAGGCGTTCCTCGTTGTAAGCAAGCACGGGGTCGGCGTCACGGATAAGAGGAGGAAGGTTCTTGACGAAGTATTCCGGCAGCTTACTAAGGAACGAGGGCTCCACCCAGCCGTCATCGGCGGCCGCGGTAAAGAAGGCGAAGAGTGCCTCTTCGATGCTTCCATCTACGGCTTGTTTAAACCCCACGGCTTGTTGGAGTAATTTCTCGAACGCGCGTGTGCACTGCTGTCTTGAGAAAATACGACTGTCATAGGCTATCGTTAACAGTTGCGCCACGTCTGCTTGCTTCGCCTCCCCCATAGGGATTACGTGCTGGATCGAACGTAACACAAATACGTCCGCGAAAATAGGCGTGTCTAGTGCTCGCACCTTCTCTATCACTTCGCTCGCCTTCAGACTCTCGCACAAGTAGTCATGCACCGCCGAGTCCACACACTTCGTGTAGTATGCCAAACTAGACGCACCCTGCTCACTCCGGTCAGGCAACAAACTCTCCCCCACCGACAACGTACTCTTCAACACCGGAACCGAACTCCCCGCCGGGACGCCAACGGAGTCGCAACCCGTCGGCGCAGCCTCGCTAGCCGGAGCCTCACTCGACATTTTCACTCAATCCAAAAATTAGTGTGCTTTTCCCAGTTGTCGACCGCGAGAACACTGCAGGGTAGGGGACCGACCGGGGGGAGGGGACGGTGAGGCCGGGGAGGGGACCGTGAGGCCGGGGGATGTGTTCATCTCGGGCACCAGGGACGGCGGAGCTCTCGGGCTCCAGGGAAATGTGCGTTCCGAGAGGTGCAGCTGGGCGAGGTGCAATTGCCGATGGTTTCTTCTATCGGGATTCCGTTGTTGGAGTACGAGTTGAGTGACTCGATAATCCCGACGCGCCTGCGGCAGTCTCTGGCGGCGCTGGACGGGACGTGGACGCCGGCGGCGGCAACGGCGCCGACGGCAGTCGTCGCGACGGCGGGCGAATTGGAGACGCGGCTGGCACTTCACGAGGACGAACTCTGGACGCAGCTCGGTCGCTGGGAACTGCGCCGTTGGCACCGGTTCTGCTGCGCGGCTGCGGAGGAGCCGGAGTTCCCGCCGCTGCGCCGTCACGCCCTCGCCGCACACGTCGCTTCCCGCTTCATCCCCAAGGCTCAATTCCTTCCCGCAACAACGTCCGGATTCGAACCCACGACGTCCCGTCAAATCCGGGCAAACGACGACCGACCTCCCACCGAAAGCGACGCAGCTGAAGACCAAGACGCCGACGAAGACGTACCCAACGAAACCCACTTCCGACTCGTCGGCGTACACGGCCTCCCCGGACCCGACCACCCACTCAGAAGCACACCTTCGGAGGTTCTTGAAGACAACCCCTTTGAGAATCACGCTCTACAGCCCCCCCAGGTTGACGAAGGCCCGGCTGAAGAAGACCCGGCACGAACAAACAAACTGGCGGCCCGGGAGGCGACTTGGGTCCAGGACGAGGTGCCCAGCGAACCCGGGCGGCTCCCACTCTCGCCCACGAGGCACGCGTCCTGGCGCCCGTATTTCGCGCGCCGGTCGCCGCTGCTGGCTCGTGCCCAGCGAGTCCAACAGCGACGCGTGTTGGGCGTCCTCTCAAAACACCGACGACTCATGCTGGCCAGCCACGCCTCCTTCTGACTCTTCCTTTCGAAGAGCCTTTGCCCGTCTGCCGTAGTGTCGCCCGCCTGCCGTGATGCTGCCCGCCTGCCGTGTGGTGTTGCCGGCCTGCCGTGGTGGTGTCCCTTTCTTCCTCGTCGTTCGCGGTGGTGGGTGTGAGGCGGTTTTGGTTGGTAGGTGAAAAACTTCTACTTCTTGAGTTTGGCGAGATGTGCCTGGAGGCCGTACCTGCCGGTGGTTTTGGTATGCTGACCGCGGACGCGGAAGCCCCAGAAGTGACGCAGACCTCTGTTGGAGCGCATTTTCTTCATGCGTTCAAGGTCTTCACGGAGTGCGGAGTCGACGGCGTTGGAAACAAGGTGGCGGTTAACGCCGTCCCGGATGTCGCGCTTACGGTTAAAGAACCAAACGGGGATCTGGAACTGCTCGGGGTTCTGCATAATCGCGGTCAGCTTCTCTACCTCGTCCAGAGTCATCTCTCCTGCACGACGGTTCACATCGATACCTGCCTTCTTGCACACTAATGTCGAGAACCGACGGCCCACGCCTTTGATAGCCGTCAACGCCACCCAGATCTTCCGTGTACCGTCCACGTTAGTGTTCAGGATACGCAGAATGTGCTGAAAGTCACCCTTGAAAACAATACCACCTTCAGTAGAACTCATCCTCTCACAACGACCAACCGAGCGCAAAAACGCCCCCAAATTTTTGAGACAAAACACTCCCAGTCCCCTAACGCCAATCACCTAGCGCCAATCACCTAGCGCCAGTCCCCTAGCGCCAGTCTGTCCACTCCTGCTCCGCTCCTGGCTACCTGAAGAACTTCTTTCCGCTGGACTTCACTAAACCATCGGCAGCGACGGGCCGCGGCAGCGACGGGCCGCGGCAGCGACGGGCCGCGGCAGCGACGGGCAGGGATTGAGGTAGGTTGGTTTTTGAGGTCGTTAGTGGTCTTGGTTACAGTCGCAGACGACGTCGTCGTCGCTTTCGGGGTATATGTGGAGGAGTTCGAATGTGTAGTCCAGCTGAAGGCGTGGCGCGAGGGCGACGGTGACGCGTTGAGTCTGGGGGTGTCCGGTTCGGTGTGCGAGCAGCCAGTCGCGCGCGGGCGGGAATACGTCTTGCACGCACACGTGTGTGTGCTCGGCTCGAAAGGAGGAGGGCCAATTGCGCACGGCAGGCGGGGCCGCGTCACGCAATGCCGACGGCATGTAGCTCGTCAGCGCCAGGTCCACACGCGCGCATGGCGCCAGTGCGACCACAAGCAGAGGCGCCTGAACCGCAAGCCAAGACAGAACGCGGTTTCTTTGCGGCATTTGCGGATTTTTCCACAGCTGCAGAATGCGCCCCAGTTACATCAGCCTCCTCGGCGACAGAAGGCCTCTCGCCGCACGCAATGTCGAAGCCGCCAAGGCCGAGATTGCCCACAACGAAAGTATGTACACCCAACAATTGTTCACCGAACCCCAATATTCCCCCTTGTGCGTGGTTGTCTGTCCCAGTTGTCTGCGTTCCTCTTATGTGTCCCTTGGTTACAAGTCCCTTGGTTACATAGTTGTGTGCCTGCAGATATGAGTGTCGAAGCTTTGTCTTTTTCCGTCAACGGTTTACTGTTGGAGGACGAGACGTTGTTGGCGGGCGATATTATTGTTGCTGCCGAAGTTGACGGTGGTGCTAAGGGCAAGAAGAAGAAGAAGAACTACACCACACCCAAGCACGTTTCTCACAAACGTAGAAAGGTGAAGCTTGCCATCCTGAAGTATTACTCCATCAACGACGGCAAAATTCAGAACCTCCGCACCAACTGCATTGGCAACTGCCCCGATGGCGTCAAAATGGCCATCCACCACAACCGTTCTCACTGCGGTCGCTGCGGCATCACCATGTTCAAGGAAGATGCTTAACTCCAGGCCTTTCCGCAGACTGACTTTTTCACCTATCTCGACTCACCTAGGATTCGACCCACTTGCTTTATCATAAACGAGCCCTTTAGAAAAAAGTTTTTCAGATGCACACACGCTTCGTGCACACACAGCCGCACGCACAGTGTCATTCCACACAGTGGCTTGCTTTGTGGCACACTTTTTTGGGGCGAACAGACACGAGATGTGCACACGCACGCACAAGATTAAATTCCATAAAAATCAACTTCGCTCGTACGGACACCGCCGGGTCATTTCCTGGACGTCCGTTCGGCCTGCTAGACGTCGGCCTCCCAGAGAGTGGTGAGTCGACACGCTGCTTGGGAAGGACGTTGTGCCTGGGCAGCCGCCAGACGCTTCACCACGGCACCGAGGAGTGCATCTGTTGCGTTGTCGCGTGGACGTCGGCGCCCGTTGACTTCGAGTGCCACCAATTCCTCGTCCGTGTCGAGCGGCATTTCAATCGCCTCCGCCGAGCTCGAGTCGGAACCCGCAACTGCCGGACTCGAACCGGGAACTTCCAGACCCAAACCCACGGGGGTCTCCACTCGAGGCGTGTCCGGAACCCAAGCGGTTCCAGCGAATTGGGCCCCGACCTCCAACCCTTTTTCAAACACGACCTCCTCGCGGTCCAGTGCAGCCAACTCTTCGTCCATGTCTCTGTCCACGTCTTCGTCCATGTCTTCATCCGGGACGAGAATTTTCGGCTTAACCTGCGTCTCGACCTTCGGGTCGGCCTTTGTGTCGCCTACATCAGATCCCCAAAGGAGGCCTGAGCTGCCAAAGACTTCGCTGTCTAGGTCTTCGCCGGTGTTGGGCAGGGGGGTGCTCCAGAGGAAGCCGGGGTCGGCGCCTCCTGAGTCGGATTCCAGGCGGGCGGTGGACTCGTGCAGGTTGGCGGCAGGCTCATTGAAGTTGGCGGCGGGCTCGTCGAAGTGGTCGTCGGGGTCGATCAGCTGGAGTGGATGTTGGCAGACGCGTCTGAGTTCCTGGTCGACGGCGTTTTGTATGAGACAGGAATAGACACGTCGGAGTCGGAGGCGGTCGAAGAAGGCCTGCGTAATAAGGGCGGCTTCGATGTGATGCGGGATCCGTTTCCGGCAGTTGTCCGGAATGACGAGGCTAAAGCGCGGACGGTGCCCCGAACGCACGTCCTCGCCTACGTACATCCCCGCGCCGTCGCTGAGGGACCAGCCGAGTCCCGCCGCCGTGAGGATGTTGAGTGCTTGCGCCTCTAACGCGTCGATTGCGTACAGAGGCAGCGTATTTTGCACCGTGTCGAACCGCAGCAAGCGGCGCACACTCTCGTCGTCGAGCCCGTTCCCAAAGCCAGCTTTGCCGCAGCCTTTGGTTGCAGCCTTGCGGGCGGCCTTGGCAGCGGCCTTGGCAGCCTTGGCTTCGGCTTTGATGAAAGCCTCGACGGCGGCCTGCGAGGCCTCGGCTTCGGCGACGAGCCCTTTGGCGCTGACGGGGGCGAACTGAAGAACGTGTGACACGATGCGTCTTCGGAATTCTTCGCCGTCGAATTCTCTCGGAGTCTGGACTTGTGGCTGTACGTCTCCGTGGCCATCCGCTTCTTGGTCGTCATGGAATTCGGCACCGTTGAATTTGGCCACCGCCACGACGCGGTCGAGTTCGGAAGCGAAGATGGCGGCGACTACTTTTTCGCGAGAACCGTGTTCCGCCACGGCGCTGCGCAGTGCAGCGTCTAAGCGCAGCTGCTGGAAGTACATTTGTGTGCGACGCTTAGCTTGTTTCCAACTATGTGTGTGTCGAAGGTGTGTCTTGGATAACGCCACACGCAACTGGCAATTACTCAGGTATGTTAACACCGCCTCATCAGACGAGACGAAATACTTGCCACCCAACGTCCAACGTGCACCTCGCAGTAACTCCAACACCTGAGCCTCCAACGCGTGTGTCAAACCCGGACCGAAATCGAACACCCTCAAGTCCGCCAAACTCAGCATCGCAGAATTGCACTCCTTACGCACTGGCACCCATACCAAACAGGAGCGCAAACCGCCATTCTTCTTCGCCTGCACCCCACCCCAACGCTCCAAACTCTCCATACTCCGCAAACGACCCGTTATGTCCGATGCCGCTTGTGCCACTCGCAATGTTCCCGACTCATACGCCAGCATACGCCGATACTCTGTTGGGACCGCCGCCGAGACCTCCGCCGCCGCCGAGACCTCCGCCGCCGCCGAGACCTCCGCCGCCGCCGCGACC